ACACTGAGGAGCCATGAAATATTGAAGGCCTGCGCTGTGGAGTAGAAGCTGAGGCTCTGCTGAAAGGGTGGCTCTACGGTGGCATCGCAGCCACCAGGGGAAAATAATCCCTCTCTCTTTCTCTCTTTTTTTTTCTGGGCTCAGATGCTTCTCCTCTCTGTCTGTAGTCTCCCACCATCCAGCCTATGAAATAGTCATGATGATGCACGAGCTAAAGCCCTTACAGCTGGATATTAGAGCACGAGCTCGGGTTAAATAAATCATCGCCTCTTCTTGAAGAACGATGGGAGACGGGGACGGAACAGCGGGGCGACAAAAACGGTCAAATGGGAGTGAAAATCAGCAAAATCAGCGCTGCTGCTCAAATCTCACTCCCTGAAGGTGCATGTAGGGGTTGAATCTGGCCTTATTGCTACTGGAGACTGAGTCAGGTGTCATTACAGATACACCAGCAGTAAAAAGAATTGCTCAAATGCTGCTTTTTTGCTTCCTATGCAACTAACAGAAAGTTGCTAACAGCCTCATTTCGTTTAGTACATCCATCAAACACAGAGATGGAGGTCTGTTTGTTCTGGTTTCCCACTTTAAAGGGTCCAAACTCTTCATGAATCTTGTTTTTTTTATTTTTCACTTAAAATGTTTGTGTGGTCGTAATTCTTTGTTACATAACTTCTCTTCATCTATTACAATTAAACAGACTACGATACGTTTAAAGGGGCCATATTCTACATTTTTGCTTGTATTTTATTTTTTTCCATTAGATCATTTGTGTTATGTGCTGAAATCAGTTTCATTTTTACATTATTAGTTTTAATCTTTATTAATCCCTTTAAGTTAAAAATGTCTTTTCATTATTGTGCCTTTAAGATGAATATATTGTAGCTGTCAATTTCTTTTGCATAATTTGAAAATTCCACTTTGCACGGTGTTAAAATTTCATGATGTGACCAACAGAAATGGTCCAAAATGACCTTTTGTAAATCTCTTTACGTTATGTGTTGTCCTTCTTCTGTGAAGTTACCATTTTGGAGAGGTTCTGTTCGGACAGCAACATTATGCTAATGACTTCTCTTCTGATAGGCGGCCCTGTGTTGCACATCTCTAAAACAGCAGTTCAGGCTGAAACACTCCTTACAACTTCAGCATGAATGTGCAGGACTAAACTGTCATAGACGGACAAATGTAAATCTGGTTTTTGTGACATCACAAAAAGAGTGAATCCAAAAAAAGCTGTTTTTCAAGCTTAGTTTCCACTTACGGACTGTAAGTGATGGAGAGTGAAAGGCAGGTTTTGAAACTTCGACAGCGTTCGCATGCTAACATGCTACATCTTCTATTGTAAAAAAAAGCTAGAGTGATACATTATGAGCCTTTTAAGATGGCTAAGTGTAAATGACCTCTGTTCTGATTGGCTGCCCAATACTGCGCCTCCTTCAGAAAGCAATCTGAAATGAAATGTGCGGTAACGGCATTCCTTATTACTTCAACGATTAGTTTAACTGCTGCAGGCTGAATGAGCGGATGTAAACTTCTTCAGGGCTGTGACATCACAACCATGCCGACTTCAAAATGACTTGTTTAGCAGCTTAGCTTCCATGTATGGACGTTGGGGTGAATGCTACATAGTTCACAAACCGCACCAAACTCTTACTTCCAAAACAGCCAGGAAAGTTAGTTCTTCCGCGAGTTGGGCCCTTTAAGTGAACAGGAAAACAAGAGTCCTTATCAAAAACAGGTGCTGAACATTAGCATATGACGTGCACATTTGAGCCATTCTTTTTGAACTGCTAGAGTACAAATAGTGCATGATGGCATCAGAGATAAGTGAACACTTGGAAGAATCAGTAATCGTAACCACTGGAGATGGTCAACAGCAGCGGTTCTGATGCATGTGCAGTCAGGCTGGAGGCCCGGCGCCAGATGAGCGCTGCACTGTATCATGTTAAGCAGTTCAGATCACTCGTCTCAATGCAGTGGATCAGCCAACTGAACGTGCATTGAAATGTTTTAATGTATTAAAGATGTAGGTGGACCCTGAGGTTATGAAACGGAGGAAATCTCTCGCGAGCTGAGCTAGACAACGTGTAATCGAGCACTGTTAACCACGAGTGACCTCTATGCCAGGACACACTCACGCAAACACACACACACGATGTAGCACAGCTGGAGGCGTCTCTGGATTTCGTGTCCTTCAGCGTCTGCTGCATTGCTCTGGCTCAGAAGAAAAAGCTGGAAGTGCTCAGTTCGGCCACTCGGTCCAACAACTCCTAGCGTGATGGCACTCGACCCGTCTCTATTCGCTAATACAAAAGAAAAGGCCCGAAGAAATTTGACACTAACGGCTCTCCGTTCATTTCTTTTTTAACCAAAAAAAAATCTGTACACTAAAATCCAACACATCTTTAAGAAAAATCTCTGAAAGGGGAAGGCTAATTACACTGATATGTACAGGTTTATGATGTCTTTTTTATACTGATATTCGCAAAAAGGCATGAACCTTGAGGACCAGAGGCGTCCAATAGCGTTTAGGTAAAGGGCATGGAGGTCTACAGATGAATCTTCATCAAATCATACAAACACATCTGGAATATGGCAGTTATTACCAAGCTCCTGCAGCCTGAATTAGCCAGTTATGCTAATTTGCAGTACTGTACAAGAGTTAGAGACCTTCATTTATTTTGTTTCCAGTCAAAACAGCCATCAAATTCAAGTTATTCATTTTTTCAGGAGATATTTCTGAGAAGGTTAGATAGAAGATCCACTGGAGTTCCAAAAATCAGTAACACTTGGGACTCATAACAACCACGCAAGACCTGTTAGACACCAAAACTGCCCCATCAGATAAACAGCACTTAAAGCTTTCATCTCTGAGAGAGAGGAGAAAATCAAGCTGATCAGATCTGAAAACATCCACAGGTGTTTCTGTCCATCCTTCCACTGTGAGAAGACGACTCAGCACTGTGGGTCTGAAAGGATGTGTAGCTGTCAAGAAGAACCTCACTGAGAAAAGGAGACAGACACATCAAACAAAGAAGCTGAACAATGGACTGACCACCCCAGAGTCCAGACCTCAACATCACAGAAAATGCAACCAGCTGCTAAGACTGAACTTTGGAGGTGTGTAAAAATATCCCTGCAGATTTGTTTGTAAAATAAAGTCAAAGCAAGTCTCCCAAAAAGAACGGAAGCTGAAAATGTGGACACTATATTTAGACGTTGAGGCGTCATTTTCTAATAAATATACATTTCTGCTTTTTTCCTGATGCCAAAAAAATGAATAACTTGTACTTAATAGCTGTTTCGACTGGACATAAATGAAGGCTGATCTTTGACTTTTGCATGTACTGTATGTGTTGGTTTCTTAGACGTATTATGTCTTCAAGGAAAACTTCACCCAGAAACGCTATTGTGGCTAAACTTGAATAAAAACTAGTGGCAGCTAGCATCATGTCATTTGCATAATGCTAACAGGCTACTACTAGTTTTCATTCATTATTAGCAGTGTTAGCATTTCTGGATGAAGTGTACTTTTATAGTATCATGGGCAGAAACAATATGGCTAACACTAATGGGATATCGATCGTTATAATACCATGTTTATAGTGGACAATACTGTCCGTTCTGAAGGACTGCCTCCTACTTCAATCCTTTAATGCCGAAATTTCACACTTCATTATAAAATAAAAACTTTTAAAAGCTGAAATCTTGGAAAGTAAGCAAAAAAACCCCTAAAAACACAGTGATCTGTAAGGTGTAGTAAATCCACGCTTGCAGTGAAGTCGTTCGTTTTCAAACTAATGTCATGCTGTCAGACTCCCGAAGCTCACCCAGCCACACGCACACTCATCCACACATTTGTGTATGTCAGGGCTCTGAAAAATAAAGGAGGGAATTGAATAGCAAAAACGTATGTGCACTCAGGGTCCTTCTATGTAAACAATTCATTAAAAAGCACACTTGATCTACACGTTCGTAGGGGAAGCATATGTGACGCGTCTTGTACTAAATCATTTAAATCCACGACCGTCGCTCGTCTAATGTAGGGAAAAAATGGATTCTGAGCTCAAAAAAAAGCATGACAACCCATCAATTCCTGGCTAAAAACATAACGTATCTGATATGTACAGAAGGACCTGTGAGGTAGGACAGGAAGACGTCCTATTTGGCAGGTTATGTCTGTAAAAACAGGAAAAACAATAACAATAATAATAATAATAATAAAATGGTCTTTTTTTCCCATGGTGAATGGAAGCCGAGAAAAAAAAAATCTTCATCACAAATTCAACACTGTCAACAAGATTACTATTTAGGAGAGAAGACATTTTTTGTTTTGTTTCGTTTGAGTTCAAGTGTTTAAAACTTCTAGAATATCAGGAGTCTTGTGTTTTCTTCGCGGCAGTAATCGCTGCCGAAAGGAAGTTCCATTTCATGGTGTTTTGTCTCCTTTCTCGCTCCTGTCAGCCGCGGCGCGGGATTACGGTTCCACGCTTCTATTTTGCTTGCAGCCGCTGAGCAGGAAGTCAGTTTTCCTATTTCATGATCTCCCCAATAAAATAGAATTAAAAAAAAAAAACAAAGATCTCAGAAGCGCACGGTTCTCTCTTTTCCTGTCTTTTCTTCCTCGGCCCTTTTAAAGGGTAGCCTTTCCGTTCTGCCTAGATTACACTCGCACACGTATCTATATCTTTCGTATAGATGCCTTGTGTTCACGTAGCTTTTTTCCTTTTCCTTAAAAAAAATCTTTAGAAATCTTCTTAAAAAGAACATAGATGAGAACAAAAGAGAAAAAAATGATAAAGAACTAAGAGAGAAGAGGAAGAGCATGCTCTTGGTTGATGAAGAAAAAAATTGCTCGTTGCTGTTTGGCTTGCTACGGTTGCAACAGCAAGCCTGACGTTTAGATGTTGTTTTGTTGATTCAGTGTTGGGACAACACTGTCCCAGGTTGATGGGGCCATTGATGGGGCACTCGGGAGGGGATGGGGGGCACCAGAGGGCAGATGAGAGAGTCTGAATGAAGGGACTGGAGAAAATCCCCTTAAGAACGAGGTGGTCCAGAAGAAAAAAATCAAGCTCAGGGCCTAAGAGCGTCCATTTCCATCTGACCACCCACTCCTGCCTCCCTCACTGTCCAGCATGGGCTGTAGGGGTCAAACCTCCACCGACTGGATCTGGTTCATCTGCGCCCTCATCATCTGCACACTGTTCAGGATCTTCTTCTGATGGCCTGCTAGTGTCACACCCACCCTGAGGATGTCTCTGTGGAGTAAACACACGCTCATTAGTTTTTACATCCTATCAGGAATGTGGGGGTCATATATATGTCCCATATGTCCCATAGGTATTATACACTGATCAGCCGTAACATTAAAAATACCTCCAATTTTTACACTCACTGTCCATTTTATCAGCTACACTGACCGTATAGTTTCACTCTGTAGTTCTACAGTTACAGACTGTAGTCCATCTGTTTCAGGACCCCCACAGAGCAGATATTATTTGGGTGGGCAATCATTCTCAGCACTGCAGTAACACTGACGTGGTGGTGGTGTGTTAGTGTGTGTTGCGCTGGTGCGAGTGGATCAGACACAGCAGTGCTGGTGGAGTTTTTAAAGTTTTATCTAATTTTTGTGGACTAGCAGCATGGCACAAAAAAGTGCATTATATCCTGATTATATTATGATAATATTTTCAATAAAATCTCCCTCACCAGTCATACTGCTTTGTCATCACAAGCTAAAACAGAAGGCAAATGTGTATATGAAAACACACCGCAGAGCTGTGCCAAAAAGCAGAGGGAGTCTATCATTTTTAGCTCATTTTGTATTTACACTCTGCACGTATAAAAGCACTATACTTTATTTCACTGTTAGGTTTTGGATGGAAGCAAAAGGGTTAAACACGCAAAATCTCCCCCAGAAGATTGGCCAATCAGGAATAGTTTTGTCTCTGTGGTATCCAGGTAGACACAGTTAAGGGAGCTCTCCTACTGGAGACTTCCAGAGCTGAAGACAAAGCCAAAGGTGTTAGATTAATCATCAGCATAATTACAAAGTGACAGAGGATTTCACAAAAAATGTCACTCTAAGTAGAAAACCATTGTTGTTTGAACAGGACTGTCAAACGTGTATTACATTATTTTGCTACTACAAATCGTGCAATTCATGAGTGGAATTTCACAGATTTTTCAAAATTTCTGAATAATTACATTTTTAGGCCATTCAAATGGCTGTGAATTACTCCATTCTAGAGAAAGTAGCCAAGTCAGAATTATTCACAGTGTTGCCTGACAGGAACCAGATGTCTGAAGAGTTTAATGTTTCTAAAAGCTACCAGTTTTACACAAAATGGTTACAAACACACTGCCTGATGCCCAAGAAATAGGAAAGCTAAATGCAATGTACTGTAAGGCAAAATACAACCCAAACAATCAATATTTTTTGGATTTACCGATTTTTACCATTTTTCACTTTATAAAACTTCATATCTTTATTTGTATTGTTTTTTTAATTTTTTTATACAACATGAAAAAATTCCCACCTGCTGATTACATTTCATGATGAATGAACTAATAGAAATGGTCCAAAATCTTGTTATATTAACATAATTACATTTAAAGTTTTCTCTTTCTCCTGTAAAGTTTTGGAGATGTGAGTTTTAGTTCTGACAGTGATGATATATAAAAACTCATACCACCACTACTGTAATTTAAATTTGAGTCAGTTTCTCTACAATTTCACATCGAATCTCTCTTTTGAAAATTTTGTTTTAAAATTCAACTTAAAACATTGAAATGACATTCTATATGTGAATTATGTAGAACTGGGATTATCCTTTAATGTGACCATGTTGCCAAGGAAATGACTAAGTCTAAGGTCAGACCTCTGTATTATGCATCTGTATTTGTAGCTAAGCTAACTAGCTGATATTAGGTGGGATCAGACATCTCTTTTCTTAATGCTACTTCGACAAGTCAAGATGTTGGTACATCATTTACCAGGAGAAAATACACACAAGGTGACAAATTAACCTCCTTATCTATCATTGCAACAGTTAGCTCTAGTGTTAGCTCGTTAGCTCATCTGAAGAGGCAGCTTTCATCTCTCAAACCTTTATCCAACATGAAACCTACTGGTTCAATGTTTTTAAATAACAAATTTTCAAACGTGCTGCAAAATCCCACTCAAATATCAACTTCATCAACATGCACATTCCTATTTTTTATTAGTTTTTATAGCATTTGAAAACATCTACTGGCCTGTATATACACTGTATGAATATTTTATCAGAAATAAGCCGAAAGAAATCCCATTACATTAATGTACATTTAAAATCAGACTCTTATAAAATCAGATTAATAACCATTTCAAAGATATGAGTATGTTTTCTTATGATAGCGTGAGCATCTATAAGTACTATGAATTTTAACCTTAACCTTTACCCCCTAAAATCCCAGGCTTATTACATACTAAGGTTTATTCTTCAGTAACTACAGGGACTTTAATGCAAACATGTTGAGCTGTTTTTAGGTTATAGAAGTGTGTAAACTTGGCCATGTAAGGTTTAATTTCAGTGACCAAAACTAAGTTTTAGTTTAAACAAATTAAACTTGTATCTTTTATACAAAAGCTTCACAAAGTCAGAACCACTTGGTTGGTCTGTTAGCCTACTTTTTCTGCTTTTCCATTTTTGTTGTCCTAAAAAAGTGATAAACAAACACATACACACATGCACATACACAAACTCAAACAAGATAACAGCACAATGCTTCCACGCAAGGCATATTTCTGTACGCCAAAATAAACCCGGCATGTTAGCTCAAGACTAAACTGTGGCTGAATTCCTCAAGCGGCTTCCAGGATGATCCTTATCGCCCTCTGTTTGTTGCACAATCTATTAGATGAGTGTGAAACAATGGCATGTCTTTGTTTTCTTTAGGCCGTGTGTCTGGTTGGTGCAGGTATCTCAGCGAATGATGCCAGGAAAGAGGAATGTGAAAGCGCCACGCTGCAGCTTGCATTTCAGCTGCGTGGGACGGTTTTAAAAACGCAGACGAGGAACAAAGCGATTGTTTACTAAACACGTCTGATGCAAAGCTTTATTCTGATGTTTTGTCTGAATCTCGAGACACCTAACATTATTACACTCAGACAGGGCCGTGAGTCTGAAAACAGTTATGCGCTGAATTTGCTCGGTTCAAATGTGTACATCATTTCCACAAGACTAAAATACATCACAGCGACACAGTTAGTGACAAACCTAAAAAACCTTAAAGACAAATCTGTGCTGTAGTATTTTTTATTCATGTGGAAGTGATGTACATTTGAATCCGTGCATTTAACGTAGCTGATCATGCTGTTATCTGCTATCTATCTTTTACAAAACACTTACATGTAATCTGCAAAGTTAATCTGGGGCCAGATTCACAAAAGCTTTCCTAAGAAATCTTGAGACATATGCTAATAGGTTCATAAGAATGGGCCTCATAAATGGGCCAAATAAAGTATTTTCATAATAAAATATGAATTCTTTTCATATGCAGGCTATACATTTTTATCAATATAATTTTACATTTAATAGATTACTAGAAAATATATTTCTATTACCCAGCTACCCAGTTTAATCACAAAAAATAACTAAATAAAATAAACAAATAATAAGATAGAACTAATAATAAATATTGTTATTATATGATTATTAAAATAAATAAATAAATAGCAACTAGAAGTGATGGTGAAGGAAATTCTTGGTGTAGTTATAGTTTAGGTGTCAATTCTTACAGTCTAAGACAAGTGTGAGGTACTTAATATGTTTTTCTTTTTCCAAGAATACTACTTGTTCTTTCAATTGTTCTTAAGATGAAAGATAATAAAGACATGAAGAAAATTCTAAGAAAGTGTTTTGAAGAATAATGATTTAATTAAGCCCACAGCACATTTTAGAAGATTTTTCTTTTGTCTTTCTGAAGATACTTTTGTGAATCCAGCCTCAGGTCTGTACTTTTTTACATTTCTCACATTTTTATACATTTTACTGTCTGTCTCATAAGTTTTGTCCTGCAAATGTGTAGTACTTACATATGCTGGGCTTTGAGGTAAGTTCTGCACTGTGGTAATATTTACTCCATTGTAATTGTGTGTTTAGCACTGTGTTGTCTTGTTTAACTGAAGCAATCATGCCCTGATCACAAACGCATTCTCTGGGTCTAACCGTTGCCAGGTTGGACAGGCTTTACAGAACGTCCAATTCAGCCTAATCTGAAAAATCCAATTCAATTTAATCTGAAAAATCCAATTCAAAATAATCTGAAACTGTTGCACAAAACAGTTTTTGTCAAAATTCCTAAATCTAGAGTGTTAATAATTTCAAATCATACTTGCTTTGTCCACTTTGTGTGGAAAGTGACCCTATTAAGATACATCAGGTAGGTTTATTTTTATTTATTTTTTAAGTGTGACAGATAATGTGAGCATAGTGGCATGTTCTTCTGCAATTCAACTGCAATAATCTATACATGCCTATAAAATATATGATTTAAAAGACATAAAGAAACAAATAAATATTATAAGATATATAATGAAAGTTGTCCCCAGGAGTCGAGTCACTGGTGTTACTGCATAACAAAAAATCTCTTATTTTGAAATAAAAGTCACACTGATGACATCACTCGACTTCCTTTGACCTGTTTTCTGAGGATCTATGAAGAAAAGCACATGGTGAGTCCACTGTGTCTTTCAGTTATCAGAGATTTTCTCATTTAGCTCATGATTTCATATGAAGCTTTTAGCTGAAGTCACTGGTGTGACCGACTTTATTCTGAGGTCATTGTGAAAAATAGAATACAAATGGATTAAATTCCATATTTTAGTGGATATTCCATGATTGACAACATGTGGTTTGATGCTCTGTAGCAGTTATTCTGTAAAATGCATTTTGCACCAATGAGGATCAGTAACACCAGTGACTCCTGTGGAGAGATAAAAAAAGTGGATTCTGCAGAATGATCCAGCTACAACAACACAGATCAGCTCTAGGGATGTAAATGATTAACCAATTAACCATTAACCAGTAGTTTTATTTTTGTTGAGGAAAGTTGAACATTTTTGAATTGTACGCATGATGGTGCAGCCCAGTGGTTTCACTAGGTAGGCCTACTGTACTGCTGTGAATGTGGCTCAGCAAGAGCTTAGAACCGGAAGTGTCCAGTTTATAACTGATATTTCGATAGGTTTGTCCTTGATTTTAGGATTGTCAGATAACAATTAATCACTGACTAATGAAGTGTGGTTATCAGTCAGAAGAATTTGCCATAATTGACATCTATATTCTGCTCAGTAGCATAACATTTTAAACTAGATTTTATTATATATATATATTAATATTTTGTGGCAACTAAACAAAGTGGGCTTCAATTTCTCATTACGCTAAATGTGATTTTTGCCAACGTTCTGTAAAACTTGTCCAACCTGGCAACTGTTGCCACGACAGAATACATTCATGGGTGGAGAAGGGAGAGGTTAATTGCACTGGTGGTTCTGTAAACACTGCCCGGCCTTTCTTGTTTGCACTGAGGCCCTGGAGAAACATCACTCCATCCCACTGCATGTTTGTATATTATTTGGATTACAACGAAGTTCTTCTTGATCCTGATCATTAGTGAGAGGTATTCCACATTAGACCCCCGCTGTTACTGTTTGTAATCACAGTAATATATTTATGCCTCATCTTGAAAGATGGCAGCGAGAGCATTACACATCGGGAAAAATATTCAAACTGCAGGGAAAAAAGCTTAACAAAGGAACAATAGTCAGCACTTATGAAGTCATGTGGAGATTCAAAGAGTTGTGCTGACTTTGGGGTTTAAGCCTGGATGTTCTCCAGACCTGCTCCACACACAGCTTCATCCTGACTTTCATTCGCTCTCCCTCTCTCTCTCTCCCTCTCTCTCTTTCTTTGGGCCAGATGTTCTAAACCTTTTGTGCCAGGTTTCAGGCGCAAATAGATCTCATTCTGCCGGAAAAAAGTGTGCATTTTATGCACAAACCTTGCATACGATCCTAAATGCGCAATTTACACGCTGTGTGTGTGGAAAAATGCAAATGTGTTTCTCTCTCACATATATATGAATTGCAGCAAACAATGGGTGGAAATATAGCTCATTACACATTCCAGGGATCTTTAAATCTGGACCTTGAATCCAGTTTCCAGTGCTGGATTATAAAATCTACAAAATGGGAAGTGGATACAAAGTCCAGATTTGAAGACTGGAATATTCTGTCCAAATGAATAATGTTTACTAGTAATGTTTCACAAGTGATATTCAAAAAGATTAATCCGATTTCAAAATGCCATATTTGTACAACCGTGAGGCACCTAGGAACCAATCACCATCCAATTGAAAGAGGGGGTCATAGAGTTTCTGACTGTCACCAGAAGATGGCTCCCTCATTGCTGGATTGGCTGTAAAGGAGCCCACGATTTGGCACTCCACTTCTGGCCCCCAAAATCACCAGATCTCACACCATGTGACTTTTTTGTGGGGGTATGTTAATGATTCTGTTTATGTGCCACTCCCAACAACACTGGATGATCTCCGAAATCGCACTGAAAGAGCCGTGAGTGCAGCGACACCCGACATGCTCAATCCAGTATGGGATGAGTTTGACTATGGTGTTGATGTTGTCTGTACAGCTGGAGGAGGTTCATACTGAGACTTTGTACAATTACATAATAAACTTTATGCTCATTTAAACCATTTACAGTTTACTGCATTGATCTGTAATGATTTACAAGTGAAATAAATCATTTTGAAATCAGATGAATCTTTTTGAATCACTGTATGTTTCAGTGGTTAGTTTGTCGTTGAATTTTCTTCACCTTTTAAAACCAGTGAAGTAGCATTAGTGTCTCAAAGTCATGTAGTTGGGAGACTTGGTTTAACAATGTTAGCAGTCATAATGACTCACGCCCATTTCACACCAGACGCGACGCAGCACGCGTGTTAATCCAGAACCACTCCGTGACGCTTGTTATTTCACACTGGAGGCGACACGCGTCGCAAAGCAAGAGCTGTTGCTGTTTGTGTTGCATTTTCAGGTAATATAAACGTCTGTATTGATCTTTTATTACTCATATAAACTTGTGTAGATGACAAAGAGATCAGCAATAAAATCTTGACTAGCTGCCTTGACCGTTGCTGGCTTTTTCACCAGGTGATGTAGCACTACCTGAAGAGGAGGAGACACCTGTGTGTTCACATTAACCTACTCAAGGCATTTCAGTCAACTTGTCAAAGACTTAAAGCTAGATTTGATTTGTTTATTGGCCTAGATTGTATATTATCGCATAGACAGCGCATTTCTTTACTGTTTCTGCATAGAAACTGCTGGCATTCTGCACACAGATGGTGTGAAAGGCTAGACTGATTAATATAGGAGCATATTGCGTGTGGTCTGGTGTGAAATGGGCTTCGGAAATCAGACAAAGTTCACATACTGACTCCTTTGGCTTTGATTTTCTGTGTTATCATTTCCAGAGTGGAATTATACCACTGTAGAATATTTAGCTGGAAAATAATTATATTTATTAGAATAGCTATTTCATCATCACCAAGCTTGTTGATTGCACCACAACTTCACTGTACATTTTAAACCCTGTGCTTTTTAACTACAGCCTTAGTTCCCTGCAGGTTAATTTCAAGAGCATATACTTCATTCACACGAGTACTAATAGTCCTTTGCCTTTATCTTTTTAGCAGCACTTACTCCATGGTCATCTGTGAGACCAGGTCAAAGCTGGTGAAGTCAGCGTTGGCGAAGTTGTCCTTGTACTGGCCCATCTTAATAGCGTCCAGCCACTCGTCCACATTGCTGAAGCTTGAGAAGTCGGGCACGCTGCGGTCCAGCAAGGGCAAGTGCACACTGCACAGGACAGAAAGTGGACACATTAACATGTACACTAATGGTTGAACATGATGTGTTTGTTAAGTAGTGGGCAGAGGGTTGCACAATACATCATTTGTTAATTGTTATTGTGATACTGGCCTTTGCAATTCATATATCACAGAAGGCTGCAATATGCAAATGAGCTGTGTACACTGTGAGCATCTTGACTAATCGCAAACCTTCCAGATGAAATTTTGGGTTTTGATTAGGCGTGTGCACAGGCACTCGAGGATTTGGTTAATCATTCCAGGTTTCAGGACTCAAAGATCTGATATTAGCTATGATATTAGTTCTGTCCTGAAACAACTACTGTTGGTGCATCATTTTAAAGGTAAAATGCTTTGTAAAAGTCCACAAGTCGATACTATCTACTGTTAACTCTAGTGTTAGCATTTGCACATTAGCTCATCTGAAGGGGCAGCCTCCTTTACTCTATCCCTACAAAAATCCACCAGATAAGCTCACAATGACCAAAGGTTTCCCCTGACTATTTTTGATTAATAAAACAAATTTTTGATCTGCTATTGCAAGTGTATTATGTGTATTATGATTAAGAACTATAGTATGTTAATACTGGGAAACGCCCTCTTTCTCGCAGTAAATCTGGAAGGAGATATCTGTACATTGACTCTTTTTATGGAAATTAATCATTTTAATCAAAAATAACACAGGCCAAACTTTAAGCATGTTACAATAAGGGTTCAAAGGTGTAGGTAATATATCATAAAATATTTTACAGTCGTAATGTAACTACAGTATGATATTTTTGTCCATATAATGCAGCCCTAGTGTTTGCCCTGTGTTAGTAATAACACTAATAAATTGAACAACACCCACGAAAAGCATTTTAATTACTACTACAGTCAACTAGTGCTGGACATGTAGGAAGCAAAAGGTTTTTTTGTGCATCCAGCATTATTTCTGGACATAGTAACGTTCATTCGTAACGAATGGTGTAAAAAAAAAATATATACATTACCTTAAAAATCAATACACCTCAGGATGGCCATTGCTTTCAAAAGTATCATAGACAGAAACATAAGAACCAGAGGAGCATCTAAAACTGAACTGATCTGAATATGGATGCACACAAAGCATTCCAGAGTAGAGGTGTTTCCCAGAGTGTTTTTGTTTCAAACTTCTGCAGCCGTATGGAATCAAAGAGCGCCTCAAGCCTTGGACAAAACATCTCGGTCTATCAAACTCAAGCAGGATTTATTTACACACAGCAGCTCGGTGCCAAAAGAAACAACGGACCGACAGGTTTGGCATGAATGAGCTGCACTGATGCGATCGCAAGTGAAAGCACAGTGCTTGCGAATATTATGGGAATACATTTTTCTACAGAAACTGTTTTAAAGATATTCCTGTTGAGGTCATATTCCATTTAGGTTTCAAATATGCCTTGAAGGATGCATGGAAGTGGGCTGGGAGATGGCTGGCACAAAAACTAGCCACGAAAATTGTCACACACACACACACACACACACACACACACACACATGCCCACACACACACACACGCCCACACCCACACACACGCCCACACCCACACACACACACACACACACACCTAAAACACCACACCCACACACTCAGACAAAGCCAGGTATAATGGCTAAAAATGTGTCTGAGAAAATGAAAAAAAAATACATAAATAAAAAAATCTTCAGAGGCCTCTTAAACTATTATAGTCATATCATATGGCATATATGGGTTTTCCCTTTACTGGAACAATATAGCTAGAATCATATTCCATTCTTTCATATCTAGTATGGATCCTCATACCCAAATCAAATTACTTTTGCTTCGCTACTGTTGGCCGTACACACATCTCACATAATGAACCGCTTTAACTGTTTTTTCCATACCTGTGGTCTGCTTCATTAGGCCTGAGTGCTATAATGATAAAAAATAAAACAGATAGTTCCGGTCCTAAAATCTGATTGGATGAGCCGCGTTCGAAGCTGTTGTAAAATCCACGATATACCACACCTATGTCTGCCTCACAACAACTGAACAATGTCACTGCGCCACGGCACAAAAGACCCTTGTGCTGTTAATGTTAATGCTCCATCGTTAATATCACAGACTTGAATTAAAGTACTTAAAGTGTGATTAACTGTATAACTGCAAAATAAAAGTCTAAAAATCTCACTTGAATGATTTACACGCCTCAAATGTCCATGTTTCAGTCAGAAGTCGCGTCAAACCCAGGCTGAATCCCAAACGGCTCCGTACTCCCTAAATAGTGTTCTAGCTATGAAAGTTTAGAAATTCTAGCCTCTACAGCCAAATAGTGCATCATTTATCGAGTGTGGATGAGTCTGAGTCCCAAATGACTGTTTCTTAGCTGTATTTAGCTCTGTTATAGTGCAGGAATCAGTATTTAAATTCCTAAGTAATGTACTTTGTAGGGAGCAGGGAGCCGTTTGAGATTCAGACTCAGAGTGAGAAGAGGGGTGATGCTGGATTGGTGCTAAATAAGACTCACGGTGGTAATTTGGTGACCAAAAAGTTCTTATAAAGCAGAAGGTTTTGCATTAAACAGTGCTGTGTTATCAAATGTTCATTCTTATACGAGAAAAAGTTGAGAAGTTTATGAAACGAGTGCAGTGTACAGCGATGGGCGACCGAATGTTCTCCTCATTCAGTGGTACATGGTTGCTTGGCAATGGTACCATACTCTGAAGGACCTACATTTCTTGGCGGAATACTTGTTTATGTCGGATATTAATAATAATAACAAATTCTTTACTGGAAACTTGTGTATTTTATCATATTTCATGGCTTACTGCTTTATGATCATTTTAAAAATGTAATACTATTACAATATCAGCAATGTATGTTTGAGGTATTTGCTGTCTCTAAATCCAGTATTAGAGGTAAGGACTACTTTGGTAGACTAGTGTCCCTTTTAAGTGCTTGACTATAAGGGAGAAGAAGTCTAGTCATTCACTCACAACAGCAAAAACCAGTGGGGCAGTTAGCAACGTTAACATGCTATTGTGATATTCTTTTATGTATCATATAGCTAGCTATGCTTGTATATTCCACAAGACCAAGCCTTTTATTTTCTTCAGGTTTCAAAATGCTGTCCAGGCTTAAAAGTGAGCATTAGGAAATGCCTGGCATTTATTATAATATAATTATCAATATTGAATGAAATGGAAAAATATAGTCCAACATGACACAGACAAATTCTAAGATTCATTGACCGTCCAGTCATACAGCTTCACTGGTGCTGTACCAGGACTGCTGGGGGCCCTACCCTGAAGAGAGAGGGGTCATGGCCTTCAGGCTGTTGGGATTGCGGATCATCTTGTCCAGGTTGTTGACGATCTGGCTGAATTTGGGCCGGTTGTTGCGGTCCTTCTGCCAACAGTCCAGCATGAGCTGGTGCAGGGCGCTGGGGCAGTCCATGGGTGGGGGCAGCCTGTAGTCCTGCTCAATGGCATTTATCACCTGCAGGGGGAGACGCAGAGGTTTAAAGGTCTTTAGAATCAAACCAAAACTGTTTATTTTCCAAGTGCATTTTCATATGATATTCATTGATTTATCAGGGACAATGCACATTAATCAGCATAAAAGTAGATAAGTTTCTGTCCACATATTTTATGTTTAATTTCACATATTAAATAACAGAGACTTGATGGAAATGCCAAAAATCAAATTCAATTTTCAAGATTTTCATAAAAGTTTAAATTTAAGGTGGATAAACGTTTTTTCTGATAATATAATGCAAATAGAACAAAGTCATGTGACTGGTCAGGAGTTTCCTTTTTCACCCAGCAAAAGGTTCAAATGTTTATGTTATAATAATAAAAAAAAAATGTTTTTTATATATATATATATATATATATATATATATATATATATATATATATATATATATATATATATAAAACATTATTATATATTAGATATTAGATGTAAACACACATAAGGTGCCAGGCATGGGACAATTCTTGACCCTCCCTGCACTCCTGCAATGTAAAATGGCAATAAGAAGTTGCTCAACGTTGAAGATTTCTCTGCAAACTCTGTTCATATTTCTTATAACAGGCCTGATGTTATATGTCAAAACAAAATAGCTCACACGATGACAAAATATATGCAACACTGTACAGGAGGAGCAAACAGCAGGAGACGGTTTAATGGCAAGCGGCAGGGCTAAGTATAAAAGAACACAGAGCCAGTGGAAAAGCCCAGTTTTGGTGGAAATGGCCTAAATGTAGATGTTTCAGCTCTGCTAAATCACCATCTATTTATATTTTATACTATATCATTTAAATTGTAAGTGTGTTTAAAAACTGGCTTTAATCCTCAACCACTTGGCCAGGTTTTGCTTCTTGGCTTTGTGTGTGAGCTGAAGCAAAGCTTTTCCTATATTCATTTCACTCTAACCTTCTGATCTTTCAACAACCTTAGCACTTTGTTTGTTTGTTTATTTATTTTTCATGCTTGTTTTATGAAGAAAGCTCCGAAATGACATCTCCTCACATTCCGCTAATAGTTTCACCAAAACTCCGGTAAGCATAAGTACTTAAGTAAGCCAGTGAGCCAAGTGTCTTGTCCAAACATCTTGTGCAACACAAATCAAGTCCTATCCACCCAAACAACGGTACAACTTTCCATCCTGTTCAGCTAAACAGTCCTCAACTTTAGCCGCCTGATGTGTGTTTTAGGGGGCAACAGGTCAAGTGTGGTAATACTTTGTTTAGCATTTGGCTCCAGATTCTTCGGAATCAATGACAGCCTGAAGTCTGCAACCCATAGACACCAGCAGACTTTGGCGATGCTCTGGCAGGCCTGTAATGCAGTTATTTTCTTTTGTTTTAGGGGATTTTTGTCTTTAGTCTGGTGAAATCTTTGTTTAAAACTCTCTATAAATGGTCTGAATTTGTCTTTTTTATCATGCAGCTGTTCACCGTTCTACAAGCACTATCCAGATCCATGATATGCCCAGAGAAGTGTACTGTCACATAATTTATTACAGTAACAATTGCATATTGTCTTATTTCCCACAAGGCCTTTTTGTAACTAGTATGGGGTTTCCGTATGCAAAGTACTAAACAAGATTCAGAGACCACCCTTCATTTATTTAATTTCCAGTCAAAACAGCCATTAAGTGGGTTCCCGAGTGGCGCAATCGTCTAAGCTCTGCCATCAGGAGATCCCGAGTTCGATCCCTGGTGATGCTACAGCCGTCCGTGGCCGGGAGTCCTAGAGAGCACAATTGGCCTCGCTGTCTGGGTGGGCAGGATGGCCCCCTCCTTCTCCCCCCATCACTTAACGTGATGCTGGTCAGCGCAGGCGTCTGTTAGCTGACGTAACAGATCTGGAGGTTAGCGCTTTCCTCCGAGCGCGTTCAGCTGTACAATGACGTTGCGTGAGCGGCAGTTCGAAAAGAATCGGTGCTGCTTCACAGGACTTGGAGGAAGCCTGTGCTGCCTTCACCCTTCTAGCGCTGGTAGTATTGTGTGATTGGGGGAGTCCTAACTAGCGGGTGGAATTGGAGACGACTAAATTGGAAATAAATTGGGGAAAAATCTAAAAAAACACAACCATTTAGTACAAGATTAGATATAACTTACGTATTAAAGGGGAAAGTCAAAGAAACATAACTGAAAAAAACACGAGTTTCTAAAGTTGGTGTTCAAAACATTATTAAAAGATATAAAGAAAATGTGACTCTTAACAACTGTGAAAGACCTGGTTGACCCCAAAACTGCCCCATCAGATAAACAAGCACTTAAAGCTTCCATCTCTGAGAGAGAGGAGAAAATCAAGCTGCTTCAGATCTGAAAACATCCACAGGTGTTTCTGTCCATCCTTCCACTGTGAGAAGACGACTCAGCGCTATGGGTCTGAAAGGATGTGTAGCTGATCAAGAAGAAATTAATATGAAAAAGAGAAATAAAGAGAGAAGAAAATCTGCAAGTCAAAGAAGCTGCTGGTGTTCTCAGAACAACGGACTGACCACCCCATAGTCCAGATCTGTCACGGATTCTCCCTTTGTCCCTCTGAGTGTCTGTTTCTTCACTTCTGTTGTAGCCATGTGCCTTTTGTTTTCTTTTACCATGTGCTTTTGTTGTTGTTCTGTGTCTCCTCCCTGGTCCTGCCCCCTTGTTATCTGTTCCACCTGTCTGTGCTCCGCCCCTCATTAGTCCCAGGTGTTTCTTATTTTCCCTCAGTGTATTTATACCCCTGTGTTTGTTCAGTCTTCGTCTTGCATTGTGGATGTAACCTTGTCTCTTGTTAGCTTGTCGTGCTTGTAGTTTGGTTTTGTTTTGTTTTGTTTTGTTTTCATTATGGACTCTCATTTCAATAAAAACTCGCATTTGCATCCCGCCTCCATGCCTCAAACGTTACAGAATGCAAGACCACACAGGGAAGCAGCGAGTTTGCAGGACCTTATCAAGGAAAATGAGGTCAGACTTCAGGAGAGCTACCATCTGCTCTGTCAGCTTCAGCTGTTGCTCCCTAGTAAGGAGAAAGCCTCAGCCATGGACGTCACAGCAGGCCCGCCAGCCTCAGCCATGGACGTCGCAGCAGGCCCGCCAGCCTCAGCCATGGACGTCGCAGCAGGGCCGCCTGCTTCCGAGGACGTCGCAGCAGGGCCGCCTGCCTCCGAGGACGTCGCTGCAGGGCCGCCTGCCTCCGAGGACGTCGCTGCAGGGCCGCCTGCCTCCGAGGACGTCGCTGCAGGGCCGCCTGCCTCCGAGGACGTCGCAGCGTCCCAGCCTGCCTCCGAGGACGTCGCAGCGTCCCAGCCTGCCTCCGAGGACGTCGCAGCGTCCCAGCCTGCCGCCGAGGACGTCGCTGCGGCCCAGCCTGCCTCCGAGGACGTCGCTGCAGGGCCGCCTGCCTCCGAGGACGTCGCAGCGTCCCAGCCTGCCTCCGAGGACGTCGCAGCGTCCCAGCCTGCCGCCGAGGACGTCGCAGCGTCCCAGCCTGCCGCCGAGGACGTCGCAGCGTCCCAGCCTGCCGCCGAGGACGTCGCAGCGTCCCAGCCTGCCGCCGAGGACGTCGCAGCGGCCCAGCCTGCCTCCGAGGACGTCGCTGCGGCCCAGCCTGCCGCCGAGGACGTCGCAGCAGGCCCGCCTGCCTCCGAGGACGTCGCTGCGGCCCAGCCTGCCGCCGAGGACGTCGCAGCAGGCCCGCCTGCCTCCGAGGACGTCGCTGCGGCCCAGCCTGCTGCCGAGGACGTTGCTTCCGAGTTCCCTGACCTGCTGGTAGCCTCTACATCCCCAGACCTGCCCATGGCCTCAGCGTCACCAGTCCCAGTTCCTGCTCCCTGGGCTGCTCCTGCACCCCGGGATGCCACAGTTTCTGCTCCTGCACCCTGGGCCACTCCTTTTCTCATTTCCTGTCCTGGTTCGGTGCCGGCCTCTCAGCATTATGCTCCGCCGCCAACCTCCCAGCGACCCCCTCCTATGCCAATCTTTCAGCGTCCAGTGACGGCCTTCCAGTGTCCTGCTTCAGTGCCGACTTTCCAGTTCCCTGCTCAGTCTGCCACCCAGTTCCTTCGCCTGCATGAACTTAATTCTGTGTTTTCCCCCAAGTCTCTAGTCCATAGTTTTGTTTTTGTCCCTGTAACCATGTATATATCTGTACCCGTCTCAATCAGTGTTCCTGTTTCTGTGTTTGGTCTTATTGTACCTGTTCCTGTCCATCTTTCTGTCCCTGTCCCAGTTACCATGTCTGTTCCTGTCCATCTTTCTGTCCCTGTCCCAGTTACCATGTCTGTTCCTGTCCATCTTTCTGTCCCTGTCCCAGTTACCATGTCTGTTCCTGTCCATCTTTCTGTCCCTGTCCCAGTTACCATGTCTGTTCCTGTCCATCTTTCTGTCCCTGTCCCAGTTACCATGTCTGTTCCTGTCCATCTTTCTGTCCCTGTCCCAGTTACCATGTCTGTTCCTGTCCATCTTTCTGTCCCTGTCCCAGTTACCATGTCTGTTCCTGTCCCCATGTCTATGTTAAGTCCATCTCCTGTTCTCTCTCCACTTTTGTCTTCAGTATCATCTCCTGTCTTGTCTCGTGTCCTGCCTCCTGCTGTCTCATGTGTCTCATCCTTTGTCTCATCTCCTGTCCAATCCCATGCTCAGCCCGCTGTCCAGTCTCCTGTCTGTTCCACTGTCCAGACTTCTCTCTTGTATCCAGTATCTCCGCTCCAGTCTCCTGTTCTCTCTCCACTTTGTCTTCAGTCTCGTCTCCTGTCCGGTCTACTATCCTGTCTCCTACCCAGTCCCTCCTCCTAACCGGCTCCCACTTTGGATGGCCTTTGTTTTTCGCGCCTCGGGAGCTGCGCGTTAGGAGGGGGGTTCTGTCACGGATTCTCCCTTTGTCCCTCTGAGTGTCTGTTTCTTCACTTCTGTTGTAGCCATGTGCCTTTTGTTTTCTTTTACCATGTGCTTTTGTTGTTGTTCTGTGTCTCCTCCCTGGTCCTGCCCCCTTGTTAT